TGCCAAATTTTAGAAATAAAACCGCGATAGGACGAAAGTTGAAAGGATTTGAACATGGCGCTCCGGAAGGCAACCGCCCAAATTTGAGATGCCTGTAGCTGGGCCCAAAATTCGTGGTTTTTTTCTGGTTTTTTGACAGTGTGTTCTACACGGGATTTCTTCTTGCCTCCCAAAATTTTGAAATAAAACCGCATAGGACGAAAGTTGCAAGGTTTGAACATGGCGCCCCGGGAAAGGGCAACCGTCCAATTTGAGATGCCTGTAGCTCGGCCAAATTCGTGGTTTTATTTCTGGTCTTTTGACAGTGTGTTCTACACTGGGAGTACTTCTTGCCTGCCAAATATTAGAAATAAAACCGCAATAGGACGAAAGTTGCAAGGGTTTGAACATGGCGCTCCGGAAGGCAACCGTCCAATTTGAGATGCCTGTAGCTCGGCCAAATTCGTGGTTTTATTTCTGGTCTTTTGACAGTGTCTTCTACACTGGGAGTACTTCTTGCCTGCCAAATATTAGAAATAAACGCGATAGGACGAAAGTTGCAAGGTGTGAATTATTGCGCCGTAAAGGAATCGACCTCCTTTACGTCCTTTAAATTGTGCGACCTTTTTTGTGTGGTGATGCTGTTGGGATCGCACTTGGTGCTTTGTGTCAGAGATGTGACGACCAGAGGCCGTTTTTAGGCCGTTTTTAATGATCACATAGTACATAGTCGGATAGAAAAAGCTGACCCTTTTTTAGCTAAAATTTTTTAGCTAAATTCACGGACGTGGTCTTGCTACCGCTTCTAGCTCTGCATCCGATTCCACTCATCTCATCCCATCCAACCATCCATTCAGCGCGCTCGGAGGGGACTGCATGGTCGTGTTGGTTCCGTCGTCCGTCGTCGTCCTGCGCCGCCACGCCGCCTTGCCGCGCCAGTCCCCACTCCTCACAGCCACCCCCTCCCTCCTTGCCCCCTCTCTGCCCCGCCTCGCCTGCCGGGCCACGGCAAGACCGCTTTGCTAAGCTTGCCTTGGCGGAACTTTTTTTTTCTGTGCCAACGCTTCCTCTTTCACCTCTTTCTCTGCCAACGCTTCCCTTATCCGCAATACAATTTTTCAGCCGGTCAACCCGCTTTTCCGAAGAAAGTGATCATTTCATTTCGGAGAAACTGACATTATGTTGCCTCGAAAGGACACGAAGTCACGCCGACACACTGAACATCACTATCACCAAAACACGCTTTCTAGCCCCGACACACAAAAAGTCGTGGATCACTAACAAAAAAAGAAAAAAACCTGTTTTTGTTTAAAATCGATGAACTTGTAGCCAAATTTAAAGGTGAGGTGTGGGTGAAAATTTGTACCAAAATGGATAAATTTGGTAAATATAATTTACATGTTATTTTAGGCATGTCCTAAAGGTCTGTGTTTATGAACCCCTAAGTGAGTGGTTCATGTAACATGGACCGATGTATGTATGCGCCTCTTCTGGTCACCCAACTCTTGCAACAAGTGTCGAAGATTTTTTTGCTACTCCATCAATTAGCCACGCATACATTTTTGTTTTATACTAGCCATACTTCTTGGAGTAGTTCTTTGTGGTCAACTGCAGCGTGCCCTGTCCTCGTTTCTCTTAATGAAATTCCACTTCATCTTCGAAGGAAGTACCTTACGATGGCAGGCGTATGGTTGGGAATTCCCAACCAAGAAAGAAACCTAACTGTAATGAGTATTTGAAACCCTTCGTTGAAGAGTGCAAGAAACTCCAAGCAAATGGTGTTCAGTTCAAGAAGCATGGGCAGGTATTTACTCAAAAGTTCTAAGTTGCTGTGTGTATTAGCGACTCATTGGCTCGGCCTCTTCGGCGTCATTGCAGTTAATTCAATGGTGTTTATGGATGTGGCCTTTGTTATCATCCTGGATTCAGATTGCCTTTGGCAGAGGTCACATCAGATCTTATTCAACTGAGGATAGAAGTAACCTTCTTAGAACTCGTGAAAAAACCATGCAATATGCACCGGCGGGCAGAAGCATCACCTCGATCCAAAATAAGAGGCGTAAAAGGTTTCTCCATACTTTCTCAAATTCCTAATTTTGATATTATTACTCAGCTTGATCCTGACTCATTTCACTGCCTTGTTAACGTAGCCAAACGCTTCACATGGTTGTGGTTTTCTTAAAGGTTTAAGAAAAAGTACTTCAATATTTATGAAAAAGAGGCTGAAGCTGACAGAAGACTTCTGAGCATTACTCCTACTTCGGACATTTCAAGATTTCCTCGCTTCTTAACTGAGAGATCAGATTATCGAGGACATGAATGGTATCACTGGATTATGACGTACAATATACCCTGTTTGAAGAACCTGTTGCCAACCAAGTATTTTAATCATTGGTGCCAACTTCCATCTGGACTTGCTCTCATAATGCAAAACTCCGGGTCTAAAAGTGATGTGGCATATGCTGATCGCAGCTTGATCAAGTTGTGTCTGAAATTGACAATCTGTACGGCAGTGAACATGTAACCTTCAGTATTCATTTACTGACCCATCTTAGTAAAAGTGTGGAAGATATTGGCCCGCCATTTAGTGGGGGTAATGAAACAGAAAAATCCCATAGAACGTTGCAAATTGGGTTACAAGCAAGCCACTTTGCACACGTCTTCTATTGACCCAAATGGTCGATTTGGCCCGAAGCACACGTCAAAATTTCCCTTAGGACTCAAATGCGGGAGCGTTAAAGGTTAAAAGTGTTCAAAATTTTCGAAGTTTCAATTTTGACAGTTAAAATCTTGCGACGAGTGGTTTCCGCATAATTTGAGGCCGGGGAATTCATTGGCGATGTCAGAACAACGATGAGGTCACCGGAAGTATCGGAAATGGCCGCCATTTTGGATAATGGCGGCCAAATTCTTCGGATTTCGAACGGCTCCGCCACCAGTCGAGTTGGGTGTCGTTCCGATAGTTTCAGGGGTCTCTGAAGGCCACTGTGATGTCAAATTGAGAGTATGTAGCAGAGAAATAAAGAAAAACAGTTCCTCAGCTGTGAAAAATAAACCTGAACGATGCAGTGCTTTCCAGGATAAAGTGAAGCAAACGCAGTTTCTCTGCTTTGGTAAATTGAACATGTTTGATGCGCTGAAATGACGTCTGTTTAAATGTAAGTATACTCGCATTTTAGGTCCAAAATTACTTTGTAACTGTCGTCTCTCGATCTCAAAATCTTGAAAGTATGTGAAGAAATCAAGATAGCAAACTACGTCAAGAAGAACCCAATACGAGAAGTGAGTGAAGGACAATGACCCTGCAAGTTCTATTGCGTGCTTGGCACACTTCTGTGCCGATGATCTTCGAAGGACAGTTCCATGGGCATGAAGCAAAAAATTAGCTTCGCTTCAAAAAGGACCTTACATCTGAAACCAGATAGCCGTAACTTGCCTCGATTAGGCATCATAACGTTATTGTAAGCAGTGAATCTTGACGGAATGTATACTTGACAATTAAATTCAGAGACGTGTGCTCTGAGAAGCAGTTTTATAGAGTTAATTTGATAAGGAAACGGTGTTTATGCCGTGCGTCTAAGAACACTCCTTGTCGATGAACTGTGTAGAGATGTACTCCCGTCTTGAAGCGCAGACAGACGTATACTGGACTAGGTAGGCACACTTACTCTTATGGGTTTTGTTCTTCGAGATTCATACAATCGTATGGACCAAGCACAAAAGGATCTTGCGGTTTATGCATTCCCAAAAAATGTTTAAAACACTTCAAACTGTTTTTTCCCGCAGAAAAAATCTTTAGAAACTGCCAAGCGGGTAACAAAATACCAAATTTCAACCTCCTATTTTTGTGGTATTCTCCCCGGGAAGTTCAGCAGACTGGAACATAGCAGCGTGAAAGGCCAGCAGCAGAAATGCAGAGATTCCTGTTGCACATCCCTGGCAATCGCCCCTATCTAAAAATGCCCGCAAAGCGTTTCAGATATCCTGCAACGTGCACCAAATGATTTCCCATTGCCTGTTTGCTGAGGTCCGCCCTCATATCTCGGGAAAAAGGCCGGTGTAGGCCAATGATCAATTTCCCGCCCCGTAAACTATCAAGCAGTGCACGATGCTGCACGGATGTTTACCTCCTATTTTTTTAGTGAAGAAAGAAAGTTTTCCAATTTGCTGCGAAAAATGCTAACGTGATTCCTCCAAATTATCGCATCTTTGGCAGCAAAAAAAAATTATCACATTAAAAATGCAATAAGTCAGTTAGGTTTTGGCCGGTCTGGGCCCAGTTTGCGCATTTTTTTGGTGCGATTAAATGATTACTACGCTGATAAAGCGATAAATGCGCTAATGCAGTACAAATTGTTGCACTTTTAAAGCAATAACTTTTTATGGCACTACTTATGCAATAAAAATGTTGTTGCTTTTTAAATTAGTTCATAATTACACATAGAAAATCAGTGCGTACTTTGCAGAATTTGCAATCTACATTTCTTGCCAGAACTTCTTGGCTTTAGACCTGATGATTATACACACTCATTTCAGGAACGTGGCATCAAGTTGAAATGAATGTGACAAAGTGTCACGTTCCTTTGAGCATTGTGTCGGATTCGTTCAAACGCAAATCAGCCACAGATTAGCTCACTCACGTAGTAACGAATGTGATACGATGCTCAAAGGAACGTGACATCTTGTCACATTCGTTTCAACGTGTTGTAATGTTGCTAACAATAACGTTATGATGCCTATTCGAGGGAGGCTATCTGGTTTCAGATTTAACACTGAGAACGCGAACGCCACGAGTATAGCGTCAATCGGTACAATGCAAAAGCATTGCACACGAAGTGCAATGCCTCCCCATTCCCATGCATTAGCATAGGGCATTTTCAGGACGCATTGCACGTAAGGTGCACTATGACTGAGGCATTGCAGGTATGGTGCGTATCTCAGTGCATTGCACCGTACTGCTATATTCATAGCGTTGGGAATCTCAGTGAAGGTACTTTTTTAAGCAAAACCCAAATTTTGCTTTATGCCCATGGAACTGTCCTTCGAAGATCATCATCCCGAATTGTGACAAGCACCACTTTTCGTACTGGGTTCTTCTTGACGTAGTTTGCTATCTTGATTTCTTCACATACTTCAAGATTTTGAGATCGAGATATGACAGTTACAAAGTAATTTTGGACCTAAAATGCGAGTATATTTACATTTAAACAGACGTCATTTCAGCGCATCAAACATGTTCAATTTACCAAAGCAGAGAAACTGCGTTTGCTTCACTTTATCCTGGAAAGCATGCATCGTTTAGGTTTTTTTTTCACAGCTGAGGAACTGTTTTTCTTTATTTCTCTGCTACATACTCTCAATTTGACATCACAGGGGCCCTTTAGAGACCCCCGAAACTATCGGAACGACACCCAACTCGACTGGTGGCGGAGCCGTTCGAAATCCGAAGAATTTGGCCGCCATTATCCAAAATGGCGGCCATTTCCGGTACTTCCGGTGACCTCATCGTTGTTCTGACATCGCCAATGAATTCCCCGACCTCAAATTATGCGGAAACCACTCGTCGCAAGATTTTAACTGTCAAAATTGAAACTTCGAAAATTTTGAACACTTTTAACCTTTAACGCTCCCGCATTTGAGTCCTAAGGGAAATTTTGACGTGTGCTTCGGGCCAAATCGACCATTTGGGTCAGTAGAAGACGTGTGCAAAGTGGCTTGCTTGTAACCTAATTTGCAACGTGTTTTTGCTCTGTTACCCCCACTAATTTGGTCATTCTGCATTTATGTATGAAGCTGAAAAAGCTGGAATTAAAAACCTTGTCAGTAGCAGTAATGGTGCTATATTTCAGATTTCCAAAGGGGTGCAACTGAACGTTGCAACTGAAAGAGCACAAATTCAATTCGATGTTTCCATACCGCATACTTTCTATTTTAGATGCAAAGTAGATGGTATACTCTTACATTCTACTCAGTAGCACCTAAACAGAACAATTCTCTTTTTTAAGCCTAGATGATGGTTCCGTTTTTATTATTGAATCATTTGTTGTTCTGAGTAAGAGTAACTCATGTTTTGCTCAAGGATACTATATGATAGAAAACAAAAGACAGAAAATTTGTGAACCCATGCCTCTTCATTTAAAACTCCTTAAAAATGATCATGAGGGCACTCTTGTATTCAACCCAAACTGATTTCATTTTCAGTGAAACTTACTGAGCGTGAGTGGCTTACATAAATGTCCTTTCTATGGAGATGCTTAAATAAGTTGTGGACTTTGTTAATTAAATTTGTGCATAGTCAACACGCAGATATTTATTTGCATCTTGTTCATTAAGGGGGAGACTCGTCATTCTCCGTCAAAAATTCAGGTTTTCGTTTATGAGTATTTGAATTCTTTGTGTTGAACCCTTGAATTGGGTGGCTGGTTGGTTTCGAAATTCAAAACCGTTTGGCCACAGGACGACATTTTGTAATTTATTTTCCACAGGATAGGTTAGACCGTCCAAACTTTGAAGCCATTCTACTCAATTGCAGTATTTCGGGTCTTGCGCGCACGGTTTAAGCCAGACCGTTAACTGCTTGGAATCGTACCGGTCCTGTTTGGTCTTTTTGCGATTTGCTCTCCATCACTCCGGAAGTCTCTCACTCTCTCTGCGATTTACTCCAGTAGTTTGTCGCTTGGTGCGATACTGATTTACTCTCCATCACCCCCGAAGTCGCTCTCTCTCTCTGCGATTTACTCCAGTAGTTTGTCGCGTGTAGTTATATATCTTTGAGATACTCTTAGTTTATCGCGTGGACAGTTATAAATCTTTGCGATACTCTTGTAGTTTTTCGCGTGTACAGTTATATATATCTTTGAACGTGTTGAATATGGCTCCAAGACTTCGTCCACGTCGCGGTGTTTTGGCTCAACTGAATAATGACTTTGTTGCTTATCGGAGGGAAAGGGCCTTCGTCCTGCCAGGCACCAAAGTAATTGATCCAGGAAGCGGAAGAAGGGGATAACTCAATTTTGGCCATTTTTCAGGAGAAACAAAAAACTGTTAGCAGGGAAAACTAAAACAAAACAAATGAATGTTGCAGATGTTAATAATTTCAAAAAGCATAAGTAAAATTTTGGAAAGAAATCAAAAGTATAAGGTCACTCCGTAGAGGATTTCTGCGACTTATCACTTTCCGTTGAAATGGAAAACAGAGTCAGCTCACCTTATATTTCCTAAACAAAGTGGAATTTGGAGACAAGTCAAGTGGAACAATAGTCTACATAAAGTGTATGTTACTCTGGTGTATTTTTTGGACTTAGCTCTTTTTTCCAAATTGAAATTTAAAATTAAGGGGGGGTTAAGTTGAGTTGATTCTTTTTACACAAGATTCACAAAAATACAAGTTGAGTTATATCCTTTTGTCAATTTGTCAAACGGACTCATGGGGACTTCTGTTGAGTTATCTCCATTTTCCAATGAAATTTAGACTGTAAAAGAGGTTAAGTTGAGTTATACCCTTTTTCCATGTGGATTTTCTCCTAAACTGCTTGGAATTCAGTCAAATAATTTGGTGTAATGATGGAAACCATTCTATGGCACAATAATAAAATAAAAACTCAATTTGGGGATAAGTCAAGTTATTCCCTTCTTCCGCTTCCTGGATCAATTAATGTGCCGGCTACTCACAAAGTAATGTATGAATTGATCGCGTCGTGCGAGTCCCTGCCCGACGGCGGTGAAGGCCTCTGGGTGCCGGTCGTGGCCCCCGTCCGCTATGAGGCGGCTCCCAACCGCATCAGGTGCAACTTCTGTGCCACTGCACTGAACTCGCTGGCGCATTACTCCATCCATGTGCGGCGAGGGTGCCGGAACTTCGACCGCAATGATCCGGCCAAGGTCCAAACTTTTAATTACTATAACGCAAGAATGTTGTTACTTATGTTCGGATCCAACTTAACACCCCTCCCCGACGCGGGTGAGGTGGTCGCCGATGATGAAGAAGTGGAAGACCTCCTACAGATGAACTTTGTACAGGAGATGGTGCGAGGAGATGTTGCTGGGGGCGGTGCCCCAAAACAACCGCATCCGTGAGCTCGACGACGCTGTCGAAACTGACTCAGCACTGCGGCTGCTGCCCCGGACCCGTCGGGAGGTTTGATGCACCGTGGCCACTCGCGCGCCAGTACTATTTCCGCGTCTGTGTCGTTGCTGCCGAGGTGCGTTCCGAAGCGCCCTCCGGGTAGGCATCCCACGGGACTCGCGCCTCAGTTCGACTGCCGGGGCATGCACATGCACGCCTTCCCCCTTTGCCCGCCCTGCGCCTCAGTTCGTCTTGCTTCCCCTGACAATTTATTGACCGGCCCCTGCCTCGCAGGTATAAGAAAAGCAGGTAGCGCCTCAGTTCGAGTCCCCCGGATGCGTGATGTCTGTGTTATGTACTTGTGCCTAGCGCAGACTGACCCCATGCTATGCTCCCCAGTAGGGCAGCGGGCACTACGACTATGCAGAAATCCTACCGCATCTGAGGTTGCGGAGAGGCCGCGCGAGGTCGGAGTGCCTTGCTGACCCGAACCGCTAAAGGTCTGCATAGGCCTAACAGCGCTGATGATGATGATGTTGACTGCTTTGGCTTCATAATTTTCCCTGTTTCACCTCCATAAGGCCGTCACACTGAACTAGGATATCTTCAATCGGACAAGCGGAAGTGGCCGAAAACAATTAATGAAATGTCTAAATTTCAATACTTTTTTTTGAAACATCTAAAAATGTATCTATTATCCTTGTTCAATCTAGAGTGCCAGGAGTCCTTAGAAAGGAGGAACGAAGACATTTGTGAGCCGCACTCTCTAAAAATCATGCGCGCAGTGAATTTTTGGCGTATTTTGGAGGTTTAGCAGAAAGATTACATATTCTAGGATATGAGGCCTAGCGTCAAACTTTTTTTTTTCTTCAAAATGGACCTTGAAGAACCAGCTTTTGATTGGAAAACCCCACTTTCCTTCAAATTTATTGCAAAGAGTTTTCCTAAAAGCCTGAAATTTGCTAAAATTATGGTGTTAAAGACGAGTCTCCCCCCTTAAGGCAGAAATACACTGAAAATGGCCAAAAATTGACTTGTGCGATTGCTCCCATACGCGTTGTTGAGCGTTATTCAAACTTTTCATGTGTCAAGACCTTACAAAAAGAGGCATTTTAAGCCCAGAATGGCGTCGATCGGACGTCAGGGAGCGGAGCAGCGCCCAATCAAATGTTCGTCAAAAGTCGAACTGGCGAGCATCCCTCAGTCCGCAAAAATGAAGATATCTCAACTCCCTTTGCGCTAAAATGTAGGTAATTGAAGCGGCTATCGCATGAACTAGGATTATGAACATCGAGCAACCGAAAGTACAAAATTTCATCCAAAAACACTTATTGAGGATTTTGCAAAAATGTTCAAAACAGTTTTTTTCGTAAAATTTTGTACATTTGATTGTTCGATGTTCATTATCCTAGTTCATGCGATAATTGCTTCAATTACCTACATTTTGGCGCGAACGGGGTTGAGATATCTTCATTTTTGCGGACTAAGGGATGCCCGCCAGTTTGACTTTTGACGAAATTTTGATTGGTTGCTGCTCCGTTTCCTGACGTCCGATCGACGCCATTCTGGGCTTAAAATGCTTCTTTTTGTAAGGCCTTGACACATGAAAAGTTTGAAAAGCGCACAACAACGCGTATGGAAGTAATCACACAACTCAGTTTTGGGCCATTTTCAGTGTATTGCCCTCTTAAGACATTGCATTGAAACTTGATAAACTATTTTATTTTAAAGATATTCATTGTGTAAAATGATGAGACCAACTAGCAAATATTTAGTAAAGTATTTAATATTTCAGAAATTCCTTATTTTGATATTACAAGGTAGATGTACGCCAGACCGTGTCTTCGCGGTGCTGCGCCAGTTTCGACAATCCACGCCTGGCTTATACACCTACCTTGGCCTGCGGCGCCTGGGCGAGATCCCCAAAAAGTAGCGTTTGGTCATCAAAATCTACACTAATGGGACCATGGGACGAAACTGTCGGTCGGGGGTCAAAATGGGTTCTAATTTCGTCATCAGCACCCTCAAAAACACAGGAAACTGTATGAAACTTGACAAAAAGTTTAAAGTACCTAAAAAGTTGTCCTTTTTCTACCGTTTTTAAGTGTTTTTTGA